CCATCTGCAAGAATCGAACGATGGGTGCTCCGCCTGCAAAGCTACAACTTCCAAGTTGTGTATCGTCCTGGAAAAACCAACATTGCAGACGCCCTGTCAAGACTTAACTCCCTGGACCAAAAGGACAGAAGTGGAGAGGAAACAGATGCAGTGAAAATGATTGCAGAAGAGAGCACACCTGTGGTGTTAACAGCGAAAGAAGTAGAACGTGCATCAGAAGACCCTGAACTGACCAGCGTGAGACATTACATTCAGAGTGGAGACTGGTCTCAGTGCAAAATGCCCCATTTCCTGTGTGTGAAGAATGAACTGTGTGTGCTTGGAAAACTGGTGTTGCGTGGTACAAGAATTGTCATACCCCAGAGCCTGAGAAAACAAGTCTTACATTTAGCCCATGAAGGTCATCAAGGCATAGTCAAGATGAAGAGCCGACTCAGAACCAAAGTGTGGTGGCCTAAAATGGACACTGATGCTGAGCGAATCTGTAAAAGCTGTCACGGATGTCAAGTAGTGAGTGGATTCTGTACACCTGAACCAATGCAGAGAGTAGAACCACCAACAGGACCCTGGCAAGATGTAGCTATTGATGTGTTGGGTCCACTTCCTTCTGGAGAGAGTTTACTTGTAGTAGTAGACTACTACAGCCGTTTCTTTGAAGTGGTAATTATGCGGTCAACCACATCACAGAAGATGATAGAAGCACTAACACCGATCTCTGTACGTTACGGCTATCCATTTACCCTCAAGTCTGACAATGCAGCTCAGTTTGTATCGGAAGAATTCAAAGAGTTCCTGTCTAAGAATGGCATCGAGGATCGAAAATCTCCTCCACTTTGGCCCCAAGCCAATGGTGAGGTTGAACGACAAAACCGAACCTTGCTTAAAGTGCTCAAGATAGCCCAAGTGGAAGGAAAGAGGTGGAAAGATGAGCTGAACAAGTTCCTGTTGGCGTACCGAACAACTCCTCACTCTACCACTGGGATGACCCCAGCATCTCTAATGTTTGGAAGAGAGTTGAAAACAAAACTGCCTGAATTACGCCCCAACAAGAGCCTGCTGGATGAAAGCATCAGAGACCGAGACTGGAACCACAAATTGTCTAGTAAGCTCTATGCTGACAAGCAAAGGAATGCAACTTTCAACCCAGTAGTCCCTGGTGACAAGGTTCTGCTTAAAAACACCAAATCACCTGGTAAGCTGGCTCCAAAGTTTGAACCTCAGCCATACACCGTCCAGACCAAGGAAGGACAAGAACTCACCTTGAAAGCAGACAATGGCACCTTGTATAGGAGAAACAGCTCTTTTGTCAAACCTTACAACACCCCTGGAGAGCCAGAGTCTTCTCCTCCTGAACAGAGTTCCAGAGAAGCAAACCCCCCAAGCCCAGCTCCAGCAATGCCTGAGTCTAGCACAACCTCAAGTACGGCAGAGACAAGAAGCAGACCAACCCATGCTACGAAATTGCCTGGAAGATTTAAAGACTTTGTCCTGGACAAATGAACTGACTTGTTTGAACTTTTTAGACTTTTCACTGAACATGATTTTGTTCAGAACAGTTTGCAGTTTGAACCCTCATATTGTTTATGAGTATTTGATATTGTTGTTGCTCGTTATAAAGACATTTTTCTTGAACTCAATTAACTGCAATTAATTGCGACAAAGAAAGGGAATGTAGTGTTTAGGCTATTGAGACATTTCGTGCCGCATACATGGTGTAATGTAGGTTCGAGTTGCATCTCGAGTAGCGGAAAGCATGGGGTGTTGTAAAAGTCGTGTGCAGTGAATTAAAACACTTCAAAAGGTTTAATCCGTGTTAATCTGCTTATTTATTGGCCATCACCACAGTTCTTTCGAATAAAAAACTACATAGCGTTTGTATACTTACTTAGGTCTACCACTATGCAAAAGAAGAGCGATTTTGATTTTTTGAGCCTTGCCACGAATTGACGATTTAGGTCGATTTTTGCATGGATTCGCTCTTAATAGCTTCCTCGTGATTGCTAAAAGGAGCTTTCAAGATTGTAAATTTCCAAACCAAAATAAAACAGCTCATGTTAGTTGCATCAACAAAAAAGGAAATACATAAGCCTTCAGAAACTATCACTCTATCTCATTGTTCAATGTATTACATGACGTACTGAGTGCAGACAGGCTTCATGTACTCATATATGAAGTAGGTAAAAAAAGAAGAAGCACATGGTCGATCAGTGTGTAAATCTTATCTGTACGAATCCAAGGCATAGTATATGCATTAGGAGGATACAACATTGGCGACGAGGATAATTCGGTGAGACACAAGATGTCTTTGAGCGAAAATGGCGCTTCCAAAGGGATTCCTAAGTTCGATTGTCACTCGGAACCTGCCACGTTAGGACCACGCTGGACGCGATGGTTCACATCTTTTGAATTGTTTGCCGATGGCAAAGGTCTGATTATCACTGAAGGTACAAATGCAACAACCAGACAACGAAGAAGAGCTATGCTACTCCATTTAGCGGGACAAGATGTGCAAGAAATTTTCTCTACTCTCGCGAACACCGGCGAAGCAACGGACTACGCCGCCGCTGTAACAGCACTGAATGGCTATTTTCTCCCCAAAGTTAACTCCGCTTTTGCGCGTCAAAAATTTCACCGACTCCAACAACAGCCAGGTGAGACCGTTTTGCAGTTTGTAACCCGACTGAGAAAAGAAGGGAAAGACTGTAATTTTGGGGCAGACTTTGACAATCAGATAAGAGATGCGATTTTATGCAAATGCAGGTCAGATTATGTCAAACGTAAATTGCTTGAAGAAAGAGATGAACTTACTCTCGCACGCACATTAGAGCTTGCAGAACAGTGCGAAAGTGTAGAACACCAAATGTCTCAGCTTAGCTTGAGTGAACAGACTACAGAAGCACACAGGGTCCATGAAAAACCTAGGAGACCAAAAGATCAACAAAGAAACAAAGAGAGCAAGAACAGAGACAGTCAGTGTCCTCGTTGTGGGTGGAGTGGTCACCTTGGTGGAGATCCGAAATGCCCTGCCAGAGGTCAAAAATGTAAAAAGAAAGGTCACTTTGCTAGTGTCTGCAAAACCAAACCAAAGAAGCCAGGAGTCAATCAGGTGCAAGAAGAACAAAAACCCGATGGGGAGCAAGTCGATTATGCATTCAGGGTCACCAATAAAGGTCAGTCAAATATGCTCAAATTGTCTGTGGGTGGAGTAGAATTGGAAATGTTGGTGGATTCTGGGGCCACCAATAACATTATCGATGAATGTACATGGGAAGATCTGAAGGCTAAAAAGATCAAGTGTAAATCACAAGCAGCTCCCGTTGACAGAAAATTGTACGCTTATGCATCCAGCAAACCCCTCCCAGTAAAAGGTAGCTTCACATGTGAGGTACTAGTGGGCAGAGGAAGAGTCCAGACCGAATTCCTGGTTATCAAAGGAAAGGGAATACCACTCTTAAGCAAAGACACCGCAATGAGGTTGGGGGTGCTGAAAATAGGTGTTGACATTGCCACAATTGCTGAAGGCAAACAGACGCTGCAGCAAAAATTCCCTGAAGTGTTTAGTGGGATAGGAAAGTTGAAGTCCAAGCAAGTAACATTGCACATAGACGAAACAGTGAAACCAGTAGCCCAACCCCTGAGGCGAATTCCTTTCAATCTGCAAGAGAAGGTAGAAAAGAAGGTTCAAGAGTTGTTGAATTGTGATATTATAGAGGAAGTAGACGGGCCTACACCATGGGTAAATCCAGTAGTGATCATACCAAAGGCAGATGGTGACATACGACTCTGCATCGATATGAGACAAGCGAACAAGGCCATAGTACGTGGCAGATACCCAATACCAACTGTAGATGAACTGCTACACAATATGAATGGTTCCAAAGTCTTTAGCAAGTTAGACTTAAAGTGGGGATACCACCAATTGGAACTTAATTCAGAGTCACGACAGATCACCACCTTTGTGACGCACAAAGGCTTGTACAGGTACAAACGTCTATTATTTGGCGTGTGTTCAGCGAGTGAGCAGTACCAACATGAGATATCCACAGCTTTAGCTGGAATAGAAGGAGTCGATAATATATCTGACGACATCATAGTACATGGCCCGGATCAGGCAACTCATGACCAACGCCTATATAAGACAATGGAACGCCTCAAGCAGCATGGCTTAACTCTCAATGCTGACAAATGCCTATTCAATGTGGACAGAGTGATTTTCATGGGAATTCTTCTCTCTGAAAAAGGGATTGGCCCAACAGAAGAAAGAATCAGAGCCTTGCAAGAAACAAGGGAACCTGCCACCGTCAGCGAAGTAAGAAGCTTCCTGGGATTGGCCAATTATAGCAGCAGGTTTATTCCTCACTTCGCTACTATCACTGAGCCACTAAGGAGCTTGACCAGAAAGGCTGTTCCATTCCACTTTGGACCTGAGCAGAAAACCGCTTTTAAGATTCTGAAACAGAGCATGGCTGACGCAGGAACACTTGCATATTTTAACAAAGGCGCAGCAACCAAAGTAATAGCTGATGCCAGTCCAGTCGGCCTCGGAGCTGTGTTACTACAGAACCAAAATGAAGCATGGGTGCCAATTTGCTATGCAAGCCGCAGCTTGACAGAGTGTGAGCGCAAGTACTCCCAGACCGAAAAGGAAGCCCTCGCTCTCGTTTGGGCATGTGAGAGGTATCATGCATACATTTATGGCATGAAATTTGATCTGGTAACTGACCACAAACCGTTGGAGGTCATCTACGGGCCACGTTCCAAGCCCTGTGCCCGCATCGAACGGTGGACAATACGGTTACAACCCTACGACTTCCGAATTGTATATACTCCAGGGCAGAATAATATAGCTGATCCTCTTTCCCGCCTGCTTAAGCAAGACAAAGTGACGAGTCATCCACATGGGGCAGAAGAGTACATCCGATTCGCAGCTATCAGTGCCACTCCCCAAGCATTAACCACGAGAGAAGTCGAAGAAGCATCTGCAACAGATGAAGAATTAAAAGTCCTGAGAGAAGCAATCAAAACTGGCAGATTTGAGAAGTGCAAAAACTATGCACCAGCCGCAGGAGAACTGTGTGTGATTGGACAGCTAGTCTTGAGAGGTACCCGTATTGTGTTACCAAACAAACTCAGAGCTCAGGCAATCAGCTTAGCCCATGAAGGACACCTAGGAATTGTGGGAACAAAGCAAAATTTAAGAAGTAAGGTGTGGTGGCCTCGTATGGATAAGGCAGCAGAGAAATTCTGCAAGTCCTGTCACGGATGTCAACTGGTATCTCGCCCAGACCCACCTGAGCCATTGAGATCCACGACATTACCAGAAGGTCCTTGGCAAGACCTAGCTATAGACCTCCTAGGACCACTTCCTTCGGGACACTCAATCATTGTTGTTGTGGACTACTACAGTCGTTATTATGAGTACGCCATCATGATGTCAACCGTCACAGAGAAAGTAATTGACAACCTGGAAGAGATTTTCAGCCGCCATGGCCTTCCTCTGACCATAAAGTCAGACAATGGTCCACAATTCCGCTCCGAAGAATTCCGGGAATATTGTAAGCAGAATGGAATTGTTCACACCAAGACCACACCAAAATGGCCTCAAGCCAACGGGGAGGTAGAGAGACAAAATGCATCGCTGATGAAGAGGATCCGCATTGCCCAAGCCGAAGGATTAGACTGGGTGAAGGAGCTAAGAAGATATGTGACTAAATACCGAGGTATTGATCACGCGACAACCGGTAAGAGCCCCTGCGGAATTATTGTTTAACAGAAAGATGAGAGGAAAGCTACCAGAGCTACATGCCGACCATCACTTGGACCTGGAAACTCGAGATAGAGATGCCGAAGTGAAAGCAAAGACCAAAGTAATAGCTGATAAATCCATGAATGCAAAACCATCAGAAGTTCAAGTTGGTGATCAAGTCCTGGTGAGGCAAGAGAAAAGAGACAAGTTTTCCACGCCATTTAATCCAGTACCATTCCAAGTGGTTAGCAAGACCGGTAACAGTGTTGTTGTGGAAACTCCAGGTGGAACGCAGTATTCAAGGAATACATCCCATGTCAAGAAGTTTGTGAGCCCTGACAATCCGGAAGAACCACCTGTCAGTGTCGATGTACCGACAACACCTGAAATTACCGTGGTACCAAATCAAGTGATGAGTGGATCTACACCAGTAGTGCCTACAACACCTCCCAGTAGACCCCTAACTCATCTCACACCTTTAGCACAAGCAAGTGCAGGAAGCAAATCTGGTACAACCTCTGCTAGTAAGAATGCAGCAGTTGATCAAGCAACAGTACCTAGCCCACCAGCAACACCAAAAGGTGGAAGACCTCAGAGACAGAGGAGACTCCCTGGGAGATATAAAGACTTTGTTTTAAAATGTTGAACTTCGTTTGAAACAGTGAACTTTGATTCGAAATGTTAAATGTTGTTTTGATACAAGGACTGCTTAGAACCGGTGAATCTCGTGTTGAAATTAAGCGAATTAGTTATTACCAGCTCTCCGTCCAATTTTCAGATTCGCATGTTTTGTTTTGATTAAGTCTTAAGGACTATTGTTTTCTTTCTTCAAGAAAAGGAGGGATGTCATGTATTACATGACGTACTGAGTGCAGACAGGCTTCATGTACTCATATATGAAGTAGGTAAAAAAAGAAGAAGCACATGGTCGATCAGTGTGTAAATCTTATCTG